GTGTTTCCACACCAAGCAAAGATCTGTGGATCTGAGTGGTGCGGTATTGGTACCACGTACTTACGGTAATACCGCACCTTATCGAGTAAGGATAAGGGATCAGAATTCTATCCTAAGATCGGAAGCAAAAGTCAGCTCGACAAGGTCTTAGTGTTTTACTACCGTGGTTAAAGAATGAATAAAGTTCAGTTCCCCTTTTGAAACTTTGGACACAAGTGCCTAGTAAAGGCGTAGTGTTGTCAAGAGTATCAGCTTTGTAAAGGCGCTCACTCTTGGTTTAACTAGTAGTTACTGGTTAGTGTGTAATACTGTGAATTCGAATCACTTTGGAACCGGTATTGTTAAGCGTGTAAGCTTGAACAACTGTATGTCGTTGTTACTTTGTTACAACTAAGAGACTATTTGAGTCTAAGACTTACTCTGCTAAGGAGCGCTAAGTAGCTCCGCTACACATCGACACCACACATGCATACATACAATGGATATGGATAGTGAGTCATTTTTTGGCACTTGAGAAAAGAAGAAAACACTATACGTATCAGAAGAACGAATGTGTCCATGTAAATGAAATTTACTAACGCTGCATATCTCTTGACCTGCAGGGAATGGGCTATATAACGCCGGGTTAGTGGTTCTATTTAAAATGCGTTAATACAGCTAAACGTCGTTACACCCTTAGAGTGTACATACACTGGCAGCGGTTCAAGTGAGTCCAATGTCGTCGCCATATCGGCGAGCTCCTTGTTCGGGAACGGAAGGAGAGACCCTAGTCCTCAAGAGGTCGTAGACCATTATATAACGCTAGGAGCGCGCCTAAATATTGTATAAATGAACTGAGCGTCGACGCCGGCGATACTGGCACCACTCGGAATTATACAAATAGTATTCTTTCGAATTATTTTGCATGCCTACATTTTTATGTCTATTTCTTCCATGAAAAGGTGGAAGCACGCTGGCTGCCGTTTTTGCGGTTCTGGTTTACCTCTCTCTCTGAAAAAATATAATACACCTGAGAGGCCAATGGAATCAATCATGTCTGTGATACCTGTTTTGTATGCCCATCCCCGAGTAACCGTAAAGAACATAGGTGCTCGCCTAAACAAACTGTGTAACGGTTAGGCTATCCATAAGCCTTATTTAATATAAACCAAAAAAGGTTAAGAAAAAAGACCACGTTATATTAAACTTCAATGGAAACGTCTCGAAGATAAGTAAAATACTCCGCTAATTAAACGGACTGCATTCTCAATTTTTAATAGCCTGCTCTGGTCACTGCCCTTGCACACGCTCAGCAATCGCTACACTTGCGTGCTGTTACGTCGACTGTGTAACGGCGCATTTATCGATACTGCTTCTGTTTCTTCTCTTTTCGCGGTCGTCCCTTTCACCGTCCCCAGAGGTCTTCCACCAAACATCAGACGTCAATCCAAAGACTCCCATGGCCATTGTAGTGAAACTTATAGCCGATGGAGGCAACTATCAGGATACAGAAGGATAGGAAGGCGTAGCTACAGAAATGGGGGAGTGGCGATAGAAGCTGGAGATAATCTGAGTCTGCCCGGACTACGTCGAAAGTGCTGATGGGGCTGCGACTGCGACCTCCACTAGTTGCGGGCTTTTGTTTGTGCATTTTATGATCCAACCCATTGCCGGACCAACTTCAGCGATGGTACTGAAGTTGGGCATACAATAGAATGATACGGGGGACTGGATATTGCAGTGGGTGGAGCCGTTTTCAAAGCGATACGAGATAGATAAAGCGTGTTCTATAGATGTGGCTGATGTCTGAGTGACCGACAGACTAAACCATTTGCTGTTGTGTTTATTGTTATAGCTGGTATTGTCCTATTTATTCTTGTTGATGATGTTGTGTAGACCTACGCTGGTGTCGAGTTCTGGGAGTTTGGCAACGTTTTGGCTGGTGACAAGTTTTTACAACCAGCTTCCAAGTACGTGGGTGTGTCTAAGAATAAATGAGGTACGAGAACTGAATGCTGGTAAAATAATTGTGCGGTGATGGTTGCAGGGTGATTGGAGTAATCATGTTCATTATATTGGGTTAATGTATTCCCGTTAGTCTTAAATAATATATATACGCAAAAATATTCTGTAAGCCGCCTGTACATCGGTTTTTAGTCTTTATCAACCTTTCATTATTTTGATCATGGAGATGAGATTCCCATACCCTTTCTCTGATGTAGCAGCTACTGCTTTGAACATTATGTTATTTTTGCCGAAGACAAAGGAGCCTAGTCACGGAGATGTGAAGAGCTAATACTGAAGGGGTCCTTCGGCAGCCAGAAGGAAGCTGTAGCGGCCGTCAAACAGTACTCCGTACACCAAGGCTTCGCCTTCAGCATCTACCGCAGAAATAGAGTTGGAACTAAGCACTTAATTTTATGCTGTTCACAGGGACAGCACTACAAGCGATCACAAGATCAGCCTCTGGCATTGCAAGATCGTACTACTGGAAAGGCCGGATGCTTGCATAAGATTGCGATCGTATATGACGAACACGCTTCGGAAGAGACCGCCTTATTGGCGCTTTCTGTAAATGAATGCCACAATGGCCATATCAGATGTATAAAAATACCATGCTCTTGGCACTACCTGCGGCTCGTCGTGCAACGAGAGAAGAGGAAGATGTCGACGCCAAGGTTGTACATATGCAAAACGATGGAGCTACTCCACAGGTAAGTGGTGTGCATCTAATACTTTTAAAACGACTATTTAATTTTTCAAAGCTTATTATTTTCTTCGGAAGTGTACATATACTACTATTATAAAGCAATTTTTGAATGTATTTGTGCTTTTAATTTTCTTCGCGAGGTTATAGTTAACCGTTTCAAGGGAACAAACGTCCTAATCAAGGCTGGTGATGTACAGAATATCGTTAAGAGGCAAACTTCAAGGCCCTGAGCGGTAAAACTCACACGGAGGCTTTGATGGAGCACCTGTACAACTAAGCGATTAATGCTACGGTCGCGGTGGACGAAGACAATCACTTCCTACATCTATTTCGGCAACCACAACAATCATTGGAATTCATCTGCCGACACGACAAGGTTGTTGTCATTTATCGCACTTACAATACGAATGCTTACGGCCTCCCACTCTTCCATGTGGTCGGATTGACTTTTACAAACAAGACTTTTACTGCTGCAGTGGATTCATGTATGTAGAAGCATATATCGACTACATATGGATGATTAATGAGACTGACAGGATTCTTCATCAGGTTCCAAATATTTGCGTCGTCGATTGCGATGTTGGCATCATTAAGGCTACTACTGAGAATAGCTACGCCCATTTTACATAATCCTTCGGTTCCATATTGCGAGCAAAATTATTACCCGCTGTCGAAGAATTTTTTGAATGCTGGTGAGGATGGCTGGATAGATTTCATGGACCACCGAAATGCTATTGTCCATGCGCCTACAGAATGTTTGTTTATGCAGCTTTAGCAACAGCTCCCGGCTATTGCAGTGATTTCTTCATCGCACGAAGTTATAAAATTCTTGACCGATGCTTTCATTATATAAAAAAATCGTATTTAATGTTAAATTGTTTTAAACAAGACGACAGAACAATTGCATACCTGAATATGCAAAAGTTCCCTCTTTGACACCATTGGACTTCATTCAGCATCGACCGATTTTAACATTTTGGACGCAATGTCACCTTACGAGTTGAGGGTCTGCATTACGCAAACATCAAAAGTTGAATTAAGTGCGTAAGTAGAACTCTTCTCGACGTCTAACGAGAGAATTTTAAGTTGTGTTGAATCTAATTACAAGCGAATTAGTGAAACGATGGCAAAGGAAATATGCGAGATACTCACGAAACTGTCCATTGAGCTACTTTCGGAGCTCCACCGCAAGATATCGCGATGTGAGCTGGTGCTCCTAAAAAAAAGCACCTGCTCGCCCTCGATCGTGCGAACCTCAAGGCGTGCACCAAATTTAACTCAAGAGTCCTGGGGATCACATGTACACACGTTATCTACTGCCATTTAGACAAAAGAGAACCTATTAAAGTCAGTAAATTCGTTCGACAATGGCGATAAGATATCGACAGAAACAACAATACTCTCGACCCCGACATTTTTGGTATCCTTCCCCCCTTTTGCATCCAGGAAACAAATTCTGAAAAGCGGTCGCATCAGAGATCCACGACGCGCCATCCGTCGTGTTTCGAGCTAGTGGAGAGGCAGCTCGCTCGTAACACCTGCAAACATTGCCTTGTAATTGGCCACAACCGGCTTTAGTGTCTCTCACGTGCGATGGTTGGACCTGTCCAAGCCAAAGACGCATTAATCCCGTCCATTCCGTTTTAAGAAGCCGCCATCGTGACTCGCGAACTGGGCATATCGCCGCCATCTTACCTTTCGCTCTGTAACGCGATGACGCAGCCAATCTCGCCTCCGCAGACACTGTCTCGTCCAGTGCCTCTGCTTTTCTAACTGCTGCAGGTTCCACCGGTTCAGTCTCCGTCGCTGCAGAATGTGCCGTCACGCCCTTGGCTCTGCCTGCGCCGTTGCAGGACCGTCGTCTTGAAAATGAAGACTGCATTCCGTTAATAAGCGGAGTGTCCTACTTATCTTCATAACGTTTCTATTGAAGTTCAATATAACGTGGTCTTTCCTAACCTTTTTTGGTTTATATTAAATAAGGCTCATGGATAGCCTAACCGTAACACAGTTTGTTTAGGCGAACACCTATGTTTTTACGATATCCCCCATCCCTTCATCTCGTCCTACTTCAATGCGCACAAGAGCATAAATGAGGATTTATATTGGCCAAAAGCTCAGAGCAGGATTTTGATTGGCCAAAACCTCCCCACCGGACATCGATACCGGCTAAATAGTCTGTCCCACCCGGCGGTTTAGCGTCTCCCGTGTGTAATATACTCCGCACACAACGACCAAGTTGAAGTGGCAGCAGTCCTTCCAGTTGAGGTATTTTCTTCTCCTACCGACCGGTAAGAAGAAGCAGGCAGCAATGAGAGCGGATGCTGCAATATCCGAGCTATTGATGAAGTGCGACGAGGAGAGTGTCCAGCTGCCAGAGGTCAGAAAGAACACTCTTTGCAGATGGTCATTGCAATGGTAGCATGTTGTAGTAACCTCAATTGTCCATAGAATCCGTGGCAAGCGCTGCGAGAAGTCATTGCCGCACTACGGAGCACTCAGGACCAGGCACTGGGGTATTTACAGCTACCAAAGGCACTGGATCAACTCAAGAGAAATGTCGATCGTCGCGAGGAAGCAAAGGGAGCAGATTCCGCAGCGGTAGCAACCTCGTCTCGAAAAGGGCGACGCCAAGAGCGAACGCTAGTGCAAGATCCGTCTGAGGACAAACAGCTGCAGGCTTCAACTATCGATAGAAATGATGGTGATCCACGATCAAGTGGTCAATCGAGGCAACCAAATGCCATGAGTCCCGTGGCAAGCAGTAAGAAGAAAAAGAGGGAGGCTAGAAAGAGCCGCATCCAAGAAGAAGTGGAGGCCACACCTGCTTCGCGTATGGAGAATCAAGCTCTCGTGGATCAGCTCGTGCAGCTGGGCGAGTTTGAAATGCACCATGGTCATGCACAACGAGGGGTGTCACGAATGCGTGCAGCGAAGGCTATTCGTGATTGTAAAATGGTGATCTCGTCCGGAGCTCAAGCGAGGCAGCTCGGTAGCGTGGGTACCGCCTTGGCCACAAAGATCGACCAACTGTTGAATGAAGGACTGGAGGCAGCTCTGGGCGAGTACGAAGGAGATGACAAGGCTTTACCGGAGACAAAATGAGAGACGAGGCCAAGTTTGTGTCATAATAAGGTTGGATGGAGGCGCCATCCACCGATTGCAAGGCGTGGATCGGAAGGAAGAGTAGCTACATGTCGATCCAGAATGAACAGTAATAACTACACGTCGTTGGTGTTGTAACATTTGGGGAAATCATGAGACCAAGACGGTCGACGTATGATGACATCAAACGGGATTGACCACGTCCCAGCTACTGACAAATGTACTCCGTCGCTACGCCACATAACTCAAAAGATGAATCTCCGTCAGGCGCAGCGCTCCCTCGCCAATCTGATTGTCAAGTGCGAAGTTGCACGTATTCAACTTCCTCAGGTTTGCCAAGCGTAAAGCCACTTTGAGATACCAGCTCGCACTTAAGATTGAACCCGTTCTGGTCACTTCTTGCCGACGACAGAATGCTCTCGAGGCGCGAGCTGAGGCCGTGGAAGCCATTATCCACTCGTTGAAGAATGATAAGGCAGTGTAGCATTTTCAACTTTGTCTGCAGGCTGGTGAGGCAATACTGACTGATCGTTGATATCCCTGTAGCCGAACTTGAACGATGCGCAAGATGAACTCCTGCAAAAATTCGGAATCCAGCTTGAGTGGCAGCAGCGGCAGAAGAAAGAAGAAGCTACGATGCAGCGTCACTTTCAACCTCTGCAGAAAGACACGCGGGTGTATCGAGGAAAGAGAGATATCAAACTTGTTCAGGTAGCGTCAAGCCGCGATGATGGCATATTCGAAGAAGCTCACTTGTCCAGCGCTTTGGATGAAAGCACAACGGCCAATCTAAAGCGGTCAGCTTCGAGCCAGGACTTGGGTGAAAGAGCGTCAAGTGAAGTAGCAGTTTCCAAGAAGGTAAAAAGATCCCGGGAGATAGGTTCGATGGTCACAGAGAAGCCCGCACCTTCTAGCCCACGGTCAACTTCTAGCAGCAACTACCACAGCGACAGTATCTTGTCTGGAAGTCCTGGACAAGACATGGCATACCTACTGGAAGAGTTGGATGAAGTTGCAGGTGACGGGAACTTGCAAGTTGCTTCCCCTTGATCGAAAGTAGCTAGAAAGTATGAATTCTATGCCCTCTTCGTCACTATCATTCGACCGGTGAAGAGAAGTTGCGAATCGACTAAACGGGGGACGTCTTGTGTCCATGTATCTCAAAAAGAATTCTCTGACGTACCATTTTTGTCGAACGCGATCAAACCGATGATCAGATCGACTGGAACAGAAGCGCGGATCAGCTGCAGCTGGTATCACAAAACACATCTGTTTCTTGCGAACGCTTTTTCGTCGTCTTGCGCTTGCGTGAGTTCTCCGACTTTCTCCATCACAGCAATCCAAAATGTTCCCAACCACGTGATCGATCTCCACCTCTTCCGCCTCTTTCTACAAATGACCGCATCAGCATCACTCACCACCGCCACTGACACCATCTCCCCCTAACTTGCAACACAAAAACAAACAAATTCGTCGTGCAACCCACACGCAACACCCACACCTCCCTCTCTTTTCGAACCTACCGAACGGTCGTCCAACTAGTGTGTCCCACCTTAATTTCGTCCCGCCCCCCGTCACATACGTCGCCACCACGATCGGAACAATGCTCGCAAGAGGCGCCAATCCGTCGCGTCGGCTCCTGTCACGCTCGACACGCGCGCGCTCCGTGCGCTACAGCAGCGACCGGCGCAGCGATGATCGTCTTCCCCGTCTCACAGACCTCGTGCTGATCCGCCACGGCGAGAGCGAGGGCAACATCGCTCGCCAGCGCTCATTGGCTGGCGACCACAGTCTCTTTGCCGGCGAGTTCAAGCACCGGCACAGCTCCAATTGGCGCTTAACGGACCGAGGACGACGCCAAGCAGCAGCTGCTGGTGATTGGCTGAGACGCAACGACTTGGCGCGCTTTGACCGCTACCTCGTGTCGGAATATCTGCGAGCTATGGAGACGGCGGGCCGCATGGGGCTCTTGGACGCGCGATGGTACGCGGAGATGCTCATTCGGGAGCGTGATTGGGGCGCCATGGACCTCATGAGTGAACAGGAGCGCTTTATCAAGATGCAGGACGAGCTCAAGCGTCGAGAACTCAACCGGTTCTACTATGCGCCGCCAGGTGGGGAATCTTTAGCCGCTGTTGCCCAACGAGCAGACCGGTTATTGGGCATTCTAAACCACGAATGTCGCGACAAACGCGCGATTGTTGTTGCCCATGGAGAAGTGATCTGGGCCATGCGGACGCGGCTCGAGCGGATGTCACAGGATACGTTCATTGAGCTCCAAGAATCGGGACGCATGGTGGACCAAATCCATAATGGTCATGTGCTCCACTATACGAGGAAGGACCCGCTGACAGGCGTGATGGCGCCATATTTCACGCATGTGCGCTCAGTTTGTCCGTGGAACGAGAAGCTCAGTCCGAAAGGATGGATGAAGATTGATCGACCGGTGTACGACAATGAGCTGCTGTTGGCAACAGCAGAGCGTGTGCCGCGGATGATCATCTCGGAAGAGTACCTTGAGCAGACGTATAATGGCGCCAAGTCGTTGTCAAAAGGAGATGGGATAGCGAACGTGTTGGCTCCTTCGACGAGCTTGATCAGCGCTTCACCGTCCGCTGAAGGGACAGCAAGCTCTGCAGAGGCTTCAGCGAAGAAGGAGGAACGTCAAGCACCGCTCTTGATTCCAGGAAAGCCGATGCTGAATTTGAAAAAGGTGGTCGTGGTGAAAAAGATGTCACGGTTTCAGCATGAAGCTGAGTTGTACGGCAATACGGGGTATGTTTGACAACGCTGGCTTTGTTTGCATGCTGAATCGCTGATGTTTTGTATCGTGTCATGTGATCTTGCGCCTTGTTTCGATACTCAGAGAGGCATTGCGGAAGCAGATGTCGATGCGAGGATTTATTCATGACCGTTTAAAAGCAAGCCATGAGCATCATATCGAAGCCGTCGATGAAATCACCAATAGGTTCGTAGGTTCCCGACGTAACCGTTCGACTACCTTGCGATCGCTCGTCTCACGCTACCCGTTTTTGCCTGATACACAGTTTTAAGGAGCGCGATATTCAGGTGGACGTCGTTTCTGCTAATCAGCTTACCCACGAGGCAGTAGAGGGGACGGATATGATATTTTCCGCCGGTGGTGATGGGACCTTTTTGAAGACGGCGAGCTTCGTGAACACTGCAATTCCTGTAGCAGGCTTGAACACTGACCCGAAACGAAGCGAAGGCAATTTGTGCTGCTACAAGATTGATAATGTCACTCATCGATTTAGTACGGCGCTGGACCGCTTGCTGGAGGGAGATTTCAAATGGCGGTTGCGCCAGCGAATTCGTGTGGGAATGGTGAACCAGGACGGGTTCTGGTATGAGCTACCTCGCTACGCACTTAACGAAGTGTTTATCGCAGAAGGCGATGCATCTCGGCCCTCACACTATAACATTGGCATCGACCAGCATCAGCGCGAATCCCACCGCAGTAGTGGCATTCTGATGTGTACGGGTACAGGTTCCAGTGCGTGGTACTCGAGCGCGGTACGAGTGTGTGAATGAGTGCGTGCGTGTTGTTGATCGACATCGGACTGATTAGTGATGTGCTGTCAGTGCCAAATATACCGAGAGCAGGTTGCCACTGTCCTCAGCGCGATGAACCACACACATACGAACGAGACAGTAACGGAGCTGACCGAATCGTACGTTTTGTACCTCATTTCACATCAGTCTCGGCCAAGGTTTGCTGGAAACTAACGTATTGTCAATCGCCTGTGGTCCCTTCTTATCGCCTGTGGTCCCTTTCTTCGTTAAAGTATCAACAAGCAGAATGTTTTCTCTGAAGATTCGCGGGACATGGGCTACGTCGTGCGCGAGCCGATCATCAACGCCACGTTCGGTGATATCCGATTCAGGCGGTGAGCTGACTAGCTTTTGAGGCACCAGTTCTTGAGTATGCAAGCGTATGCTTATCATTGCTGTTTTGAATACTGCAGAGGTAAAGCCCGCCGGGTTTCGATGCGGTCACTCGGATGGGACATGAGAGTCAACATAGATGGCATCTACTCGGTGCCGTTAGATTACGGCGTTCAGGCGGTGATGAAGATTGACGATGGACCGAAATACGTGCTACGCACTGTGGATTTCTCCCCGTTGCCAGGCTCTGCGCCAATGCGGAAGATATATTAGCATTTCAGAGGTTTGCCATTAATTTTGGACACGTCATTACCCGATGTCTGTGTTTGCTCATTGTTACCCTACACTGCCGCTTTGCAGGACCTCACGTCAACGCATTCGTGAGCGGGACACGGTGGGCGAGGACGAGTAGTCGCGATGGTGTTTGGAGGTTCTTCGACGTGACCGCCCTCGGGAGCGCGACCGAGATGGCGAGCGTCGACGACGGCGTCCGCTCGTACGCTCTTGAGGCTGCGACCGGCTGCTGCTACGGCTACGTCGACGACGAAAGCGCGAACGGGAACGAGACTGATGTCGACCGACTTTCGATGTACATCGCTCTTGTAGTGGACTTACCTCCCTCACTATGCTCCTCGAGTGGTTCCCCGACTGCAATCGCTTGCTCGAGTGTGAACGTTCTGCTTGCTTTCCATTCGTTCTACCGCGCTCCGATGCCTGGCGGTGAGATATACGCACGACCAACTCATCGAATACCTGTCGCTGCTTTTGCTCCGACAGTAGTGCCCCGCCCGTATCAGCTGAGCTGTAGAATTCACGAATAAACGATTGAACCCTGTCTTCCTCCCATCGTAATGATGACCTGCCTTCCGTAGGTAGCTTATCCTCCAGGAACCTTGTAAGCCGTAGCTGCTCTCCATCACGCTTGAGCGCGTCCGATTTATATTCTGCTACTGCCTTCGCATACATCTTTTCTTGAGTGGACAGCGTCAACAACTCCAGTGCATTGTCTTGAATGTCCGTGTATCGCTTCGGATCCAGATTGTCTACCAATGTCGATAAAAACACACTCAACGTTGTGCTCGCCTCCCACGAATCCAGCTTAAACTGTTCGCGTAGTAACTGTGCAAACAACTGCTTTGCACGCTTCAGCCCGCTTTTCTTTGCCGCCTTTAGATCTTCTCGACGGTGCTCAACAAAATGCTCAAAAATCGCACGCCTCTCATCCATCGTCGGAACACCAATGAAGCGAGGATCTCCAGCGATCTGAGGCAAAGCGACGGACCACTTGCACAAGGGCATGATGTTCTTCTCACGCAGCATCGTACGAAACTGCTCAACACGCCACTTTTTACGTGTCTCACGCTCCTGTTCCTCCTGTAACTCCTCGGCTGTCCGCGGCTCTTCCTCATCTGCCTCCTCCTCTTCTGCTGCGTCTTTCCCCAGCTTCTCTTCCTTTGCCTCGTCCAGCTTCTCTTCCTTTTTCTTGATTCCATCAAGTTTCCTCATCCCCCTCTTCCTCTTCTTCTTCTCCACCCCCTCTTTCCGTTCCTTCTCCTGTTCGCTCGGTACTGCTTCCCCTCTATCTCCACTTTTATCCGTCTCTTCAGCTTCGTTAGCCCCCATCTCGCCCCACTCCATCGGACGCTCCCACACAGAGACCTTCGTCGTGGCATTGAAGTAGTACAACGTGCCGTTGCCCGCGTCGTGCGCCGTCCAGACGCCAGAGCGCGCGACGGCGTTCTGCAGCATGAACTTCATCATGAACTGTGTCTCGAGCGGCGCGAGGTCTTCCGGCACCTTCCATTGTGACACGCCCTTCTCACGGTCATAGTAGAACAGCCTTCCGTCGCCATCGTCGTGTACGGACCAACCACCGACCACCTGCAGCGCGTTCAGCACATAGAGCTCCTGGTCAGACGTCATTTTGGCAACAAAATTACGTAGAATACGTGATATTGGTGTACACTACACAAACTACAGCAGCTCCCACTTAAGTACGAAAACGGACACAGCTGAAGCCATTTGAGCACGTCAATGGCGGCGACAACGGCGCCACAACAGCGAGTGCATTGCCGTTTCCAGACCGACGACGAGTATGAGGAAGAGCAGTTGCTCATGGATATCGACATGGAGTTACAGAAGGTGCAGACACTCAAGACACAGACGCACGATCGCATCGAGCAGCTGCGACAGGAACAAAAGCTCCTGGAGCAGCAGCAGCGCCGTCTCCAGCGGCAAACGGACCGACGCGACGCTGGCGCTGCCACTGCGCGCATGTTTCAGCTGCAGGAGAAAGAGCGGGAGCGACTTGCAGCGGCACAGGCGCAGCGCAGACGGGAGGAACAGCGGGTCAAGGCCGGGGCTGAGGCGGCCGAGCGCCGTCGCGAGCACGCGATTGAGACCGACAAGGACTTGGATGACTTGGACGCGTTTTTGGCCCAGGACGCGACCAACTATTGACGTTGTTTGATGGAGATTTGACTAGGTATTTGTATGCATGTATGTCGACACTATCACTATCTGGAGGTGTATTATGCTGCTACATTTTACTATGGCAGCCACAACACTACATCGAAGATTCGACGGTCGGCAACTTGTTGCCGAAGAGCGGATCGTCAGCGGATAAAGTGGTGCCGACAGCTTTCTGTCGGCACCACCGAAAACAAGCTCAACTGTCGTCGCTCCGGCGCTTCCACGCCGCCGACGCAAAAGCTGACGCTCGTGTAGTATGGTGGGGACAGCCTATCGGGGCTTGCTTGCTCTTTGTACACACATCTTTTGCCGAGTCAGTTCCGAGAGATGTGTAGCCGTGCAGGATTGGATGAAAAGAATGAACGTTTTTGATTTATCAAATATACGTCAGCCGTCTTTTCGTTGGATGAAAAGATCTGTCTGAGTTCTAAGAGAGCGAGGCCAAGAAGCGCCACCCCCGAAGTTGCAAACACAACGCAAACAGCCCGCGCCGAAAGGAAAGGAAAGGAAAGAGAGAGAGATCCGGACCACCACGCGTTGACCTTCACTCCCAACGCGGACGTCTCGTATCTATCGTTCACTCCCCCCTCGCTCTCTCCCGCTTTTCTTCTACTTTCAGTACCTTTTCACGCGTCGTTTGACCCGGTGACCATCACTCCTGCTGCCATTTACCAAATGGAGACCGCAAGCACAGACGCGACCGACGCGGGCAACCGCAAGCGCAAGATGACGGCCACCACGCCGCCGTCCAGCCTCAAGCGCGGGAGCAAGCTGTCGCGTCCTGCCACGACCACCGTCGCCAGCATTTCTAACGGCGTGACGCCGCCCGTCGTCACGCCACGGAACTCCATCCACACATCCAGCGCGTTCATCGACCACCAGCGTGCCATGTTGAGCGCGGCCGTCGCGCCCACGCCGCACGGACCCATCGAGCACATGCCGCCCACGCCCGCGTTCGTGAACCGCAACGGCTTTGGCCACACGCCCGACGGGTTCTCGTCGACACCGAGTGACGGGTTTCCGTCGAATAGCGCGCTAGCTCAAGGTGCTGCGACCTCGACGCCTGCAGACGAGCACCCGTCCGCCGGCGGCTCGACTGGCCACTCGTCGCACGCGCCAACGCCGTCTCCAGTGCCGCGTGCGGCGCCGTTGAACTTGCGCAACTTTTCCAATTGGGACGTTGGCACTCGTTATACTCTTGTGCGGCTGCTGGGCAAGGGATCGTATGGACAGGTACCTTTTTTGTCGCTGATAGCGTCATCCGTTGTCGACTTTTCGTTCGCATCGATTGCGGATTCGAGGGATGCTGCTTCTATTTGTTATCAGGGTTTTATTGATTGCTAAGGTTTTTTGTTGATTTTTGTGGGTTTTTTGTGGGTTTTAGGTCGCAGAGGCATTTGATGCGGAACGTCAGACGAAAGTGGCGATCAAGAAGATCATTAATGTTTTTGATCAGGAGATTGACTGCAAGCGGTTGTACCGTGAGATCTACATCCTGCGTCGTCTGAGGTGCGTGTGCTTGTGTTCCTATGTGGAGCTCCGGTCGCCTTTTGTTGTTACCTTACCGGATTGTGGTTGTGTTGGGTTTGTTCTTCTAGTCACTCGCAGGTGATCAATTTGATCGACGTTATCCCACCGGAAAACTATGACACGTTCACGGACTTGTACCTCGTGTTTGACTTCGTGGACACGGATCTGCACAAGCTCATCATGAGTCCACAGTACTTGACGATTCGGCACATCCAAGTCTTCCTGTACCAGCTCTTATGTGGCTTGAAGTACATCCACTCGGCCAACGTGATTCATCGTGACATGAAACCGGCCAACATCTTGCTGAACGAAGACTGCACCCTCATGGTAAGTGGTTGCCAGGTGGTCAAGTGCTGTGGGAGTCGCTATATTTACGTATGATATTATCGTGATTGCCGTTCTAGATTTGTGACTTCGGTCTTTCTCGTGTGATGGAGAGCGACTTGTCGATGGAGGAGCTGAGCAAGCATTTGTATTCGCCGAAGGACTCGAAGTCGCCTACCACGTCCGATGGAGGAACTACGTCGGCGCCTTCTCCTGGCAGTGCCTCCTCGACGCCGTCATCATCTGGGGAGTTTCCCAAGATGCGACGACAGCTGACAAAGCACGTGGTCACACGGTGGTATCGTGCGCCAGAGCTTATTCTCCTTCAAGAGTACGACTTTTCCGTCGATATGTGGAGTATCGGGTGCATTTTTGCAGAGCTGCTTAGTATGCAAGTTGAGAGCTGCCCGCGGTACCAGGAGCGCGTGCCGCTCTTTCCCGGTCGATCGTGCTTCCCGCTCAGCGCAGATCGCCCCACGACGTACTCAGACAAGCTGGACCAGCTCAATGTGATCTTCAACGTCATTGGCACACCGGGCGAGGATGATATTGGCAGTTTGGGCGAAGTGAAGCAGTATTTGCGAAAACTGCCAAAGAAGGAGCCCAGGGACCTTCGTGAGGTGTGTACTGCCTAGCTGAAGTTAGCAGCGATAGCGAACTGTGACTTGACTTTGTCATGCATTGTAGATGTATCCGGGCGCCCCTGCTGACTCGCTGGACTTGCTGAAGCAGATGCTGTCATTTAATCCCGAGTGCCGAATTTCGGTACGTGAGGATGCCAATCTGACACATTGTTCTGCAGGGGCATGTCTTGATATTTGACGGTGTAATTTTTGTTGAAGGTGGACAAAGCGCTTGCGCACCCGTTTTTGGAGTCTGTACGGCGGACCCAGTCGGAGACTGTAGAAGCTAATCCGTTTGGTATGGAGTTCGAAAACGTTCCGCTGAACAAGGATGCCTTGAAAGGTATGTACGAGGTGGTTGCTTCGTGTGTTGTGCTGTAGGGATACACAGCTAACCTGACGTGTTGTGTTGAAACCTGCAGCCCGTATATTTGAGGAAATTAAATTGTTCGCAGACCGTAACATCCAAAGATGAAAGGGGTGACTCTTGTCTGCACGAGTGCAGTAAGGCAGCCTCATCTTACTCGATCGTCGGGTCGTGCGCTTGGTGATACGATGGGGGCGAAGTGGAAACAACCTGTGTTCATTGTTGATTTGCGGTCCAATTGAGTATGTACAATGTGAGGGAAGGAGAGCGAGAACAAAAGGGCGTGTGAACTACAGTGAAGCTACGAAGTCAAAGACAATCGTCTTTAGAAGATAATTGACCCTTTGAGACACAAGGGAGACCAGTCTATTGTTGCATGCGTGCGTGTTTATTGTTGTGACGTGACACAAGGGAGACCAGTCTAGTGTTACATGCGTGCGTGTTGATTGTTGTGACGGTGTATGAACCAGCGCAAGCCACACTTGTCGCAGAGGACAGAAGTGGGGCGATTTGTCTGCGTACCTGGTCAGTCTCGGGTCCAATCCCAGCGCTGATCGCACTTGTAAATCGACCTGAAGCCTTGAAGTAAAAAAATCGAGTCAGAACAGAGTCAGCAAACAGTCATTAAATAGAGTCAGAAATAGACCAGGGATTGCTGTTTGAGATTTTATCCCACTTTGTAGATTACTGTATTGTTACGGAACGGACGAACGGCTGACAGTAGCACCTGTCTAAATCTGGTTTGCCAAGAATATCCACAAAATACCGCATTCATTATCCTCTGTCTCGACGGCGGACACATTCATCCACAAATAAAACATTTATATAATAAATGTTTTATTTGTGGATGAATGTGTCCGCCTAATGGATTGGATGTCAATGTTTACTTGATCAGTATATTTGTTACATAAGTAGATTCTAGAAAAACTCAACCGTGTAAAACGACGTGGGGCATTTTGGACTAGGTGGGACATTGGCTGCTTACAGTATTACCTTTTAACACGTCTTCATACTTTCTTGGCATGTGAATATCTAACAGCTCATTCTGAAGTGTCCTTGGCTCAATTTTCTTGGGTTCCATTCGTCGGGACTATGTGGCTACGGTTATCACATGGAGCCATCGCCTCATGAATCTCGTTTGATTACCAGGTTGTTCGATGTTGGGACTTCTTTCCGCGCGCATATTGTGCCAATCAGATGCTTATTCCGCTACCCACGCCCCAGGAGCTCACTGTAAATCGCAGGCGTTTACCGAAGTGATAGATGAAGATCCTTAGCATTATGTCTTAAACGTTGTGAACGTCCAAACCTAACTATTTGATACCTGGTGCATCAAATTGGAGCGCAATTGTCGTCATGTTGTTCATGCTGGGATTGACGGGAGCTAGCTTGGCGATGGAGATCGCGAGTGGATGAGGATGTAAGTATTTCTGAGGTCCTTCGTCCACGATCGCTGCGGTACTCTAATCCTGATGGGCTCCTCTTATCACGCATGGCTTCTTCTAGTGTTGATTCACACGACAAGCATTTATTGCTTCGTAAATTGCTTTCCAAGTAACCCTATCTCGTGCAGGACAAAAGATTGGAATTTGGACAGGACGTCCTGCGGTCTAGATGTGAGTGAGCCTTGTTGAGCCATCAAATGCCAGGCAGAAAAGTTATCCCACGATTAACTGGCCACGGTTACACTCGAATCGTTGCTCATTCGTTGGTGTCCCTTTGCACAAAAAAACCTCTTCCAGGTCCTACACAATTCAGCTAGCTCGTTCAAGTATATCATTGACGGGGTTTAAACAGCTTCTACATCACACTTAACGGAGCGATGATACACTTATTTGAACAAGTAATACCGCTACCTAGCCTGATAAATTTGTGGCATTATAAGTGCTGTAAACTATAGTGGGGGTCCAGCGCTGTCAATACTAACAGGTTCTACTGCATGCGAAATCAACAGCAAACAACAGCACCTTGCTGCAATAGTCACTTTAACCCATCAATTATGTGAAGTTGGGTGTGGCGTTCTTCCTTGAATGCGTCTAAGTCGCACCTCTCATTGTTAGAGATCAAACCAGCCCCGGAGGTTCAATTTGCAGGACAGAATCAAGTCGTCGGCCGTTCGCTAGGCCGTGACTCCCCCACATTGTCAATGCTATTGCCCGCTCGTCACAAGGTCCGTCCCACATCAACTCACCGACAAACGCGCTGCAAAATGCTGGTAGGCAGTGGCTCTTTGCTGCAATATGGTATCCAGATCATCGTCGGATAGTCTCTGTTACATCAGTCGATCGGCAGCAGTAAATGCTACCAATCGACGAGTTTGACCATCATACCGCCACGAACATCATCTGACACCTGGATTAGCTGAGGACGCATCAGGTGCAGAGATGAACGAAGATACGTGAGCGACCACAACCGCCAAAGACCTAACGCGGAGACTACCGCGAGCTGTCAAGTTACAAGTGCTGGAAGCGCTTGACATCAATAGTAAGAATCATGTGTTGAAAAAGAAACGAATCAGTTGGCCACCCCAGCGACGTGCCAAGCAGTTCTCGGGTTCGTGTTTAAAAACGGTCTACATCTGTATTACACAAGCTCAGAGTAGAGTGAAGCAGTAAACGCTAGCTCTCCAAGGAGCTCAGTAGGCTGACCCAGTGGCTATCTTACAGACAAATTACAGCATCTAACCATCACTGATGAACGACGAAATTCACATCTTCAATCTCTCCCCCTGGCACCCGAATTTGGTCAGCCCTGTACATCTTCAATGTCATGCAGACGATGCATGAGCTCCAAGAGACCGACTTGTAAAAAAAGATCAGTGACAGCGTGCAATAGTGTCTGCGATGAGCATAAAGGCAGTTCGAAAGACCAAGTCTGGGTGTCTACCAAGTAGAAAACCACACGAAGCCGTACGAGATGGCCTATCGTTCATCGATCGCGACACGAGGTGCTGTCAAACGAGGCACTTTCACGCCTTCGCTGCAATGAAAAGATCACTTTTTGGTCCTCTGATCATGGATTGTCGCGTCATGCGCCTGGATTGTCTCAGACAAGGTGATCAGAACACCCACTGAGTGTAAAAAGCACAAACGAATGGCATACGTCGATCGCCAAGAATGCGCTTTTGGCCTTTGCGAACACGTTCTGCTGCTTTCAGTCAAGTTGCATAATCTACGATGGCAGATTATCAGTACCTGAATGTTTTCCATGGACTTCGGTGACATTTTACACACACAGTGCAATAATGTCGATTGAGTACAAGGTGATTGTAAAAATGACGGCAAGCGTGACGTAACAACGCCTTTTTTACTGTAAATATCCTACTTCTGCTTCATCGAGCGTGAAGTAGTGCCGCGATCGACATCAACCACCAATGACAAGTATGTGCGTACACTTTACAAAATCGACCACCCAATGCCTCGCCTTTTCCACCCACACTCGAGCGACCTTTTACACATCCACCTGGCGCAACCTCGCTTTCTAATGTTGCGGAAGTCAGTGTGCAGCGGTCCTTCCAGTTCGTCGCGCAACATAACCCAACTCACCAAGTTCCCGCCGATCAAGCGCCTTCGCTCCCAGCGCGTCGTTTTGGCCATGACTTCCAAGGCCCCGCCGCAGCAGATGGAGGAAGAGGAGACTGCAGCAGCAGCAGCAGCAGCAGCTCCGGAAGAGACACAGGAGCAAGACCACGACCAGGAGAAGAATGGGGGCGTGTCGCAAGAGCAGCCGCCGACGTCGCAGGATCCCGAGACGAAGGACATGGCTACATCCGAGGCGAAAGTCAAGACAGCAGCAACTGGAGCCAATAAACACACGAGGATAAACGCCACACCAAGGGAGCACAAGGACGAGACGGCAGAAGGTGCAGCTGCTAGTAGTTCGCCGGACAAGGACGAGCCAATGGACAACTGTGCAGCGTCAACGACCACTGAGACGGCACCAGGTCCGGCTCTAGCAGCAGCTACGAAGCGCAAGTTGAATGCGCAGGAGCCTCAATCGGCCTCTGTTGAGGACAAGGACCATGGAAAGACGAAGAAAGCGCGGTCTCAAGTGCACACAGAGTCAGTGGGGACGACGACGACGAGACCGGTCAAGACGAAGACGGCGTTTGCGTTTGCACGACCGACGGCATCTTCTGCTCGACGCACGGCTGCAGTTGCACAGAATCAGGCACAAGTCAAGGCGACGCCGGTGATGCGGAAGATGGTGCAGTCGAAAAAACGTGCACCAGCTGAAGAAGCTCAGCGGCTGTCGACGCCGGTAGCCACCAGGACGTCGGATAAAGCGGCGCGAGCTCACTTTAGCTACACGCCGTACACTGGTCCATTACCGCCGCTGACTGTGGAATCGAGCTTTGCACCGAAGAACGGGCAGGGGTTGGATCGTGGCATGAGGTCGGCGTCTCCTGCGCAGTCAAAAGTGGCTGCAGCTGCTCGGAAATCGCGACCTGCATCAGCAAAGAAGAGCACGTTAAGTGGTAAGGAGAACTGTGGTGTGCATACGGAGGACGTGGCAGCGTCTAGCAGCCAAGCTTCCATTGAGCCAAGCAGAACGGGATAGCCCGTGAGCAAGTGTGCGCATCGCTTTGCGTTGAACGAGAAGGTCGAGGCTCAATGATCGATTGTGCTTGATCGACAGGACGAACCAGCCTACGTCATCTGCTGAAAGGCAGAGTTGACAGTGCAGGTGTGACATGACTTTGTTAACAGCCATCAATGCCTTCCCGTATCCAGTTTCATCGTGTGGTGTCGTCTCGCATTTTCCTACGCAATGGGGAAGACGCAACCGAAACGACATCACGTGTGTCTGTTTGTTACTCCAGCAAACTACTCAGTCTATGCTCGCGTGCGATCCTATCGATGACCTGCTTTTAGTGACCGAGCAGTGAAATGCCTTGCATGTAAAATGGCTATGGCATGCCTCAGTGGTGTAATTCCGAGTTCGCGTTGACGGTGTCACGCGATCTCCTGAGCGATCCCTGATTTAAAGAACCACTGGCACTTCAGCATAATGCGCATGCCCATCACAACGCTTAATCGCCGTCAATTTGTGATGGCAGATAGATAGATGTAGATAGATGTCACTTTGCCCAGGACGTTGCCAAGCAAGCACTGACCCGGCGTCCATCCAATATAACCCGAATCAAAAGCTCATTACTTGTGAAGAAAGCCAAAACATGCACGTCTCCCTCTCCTCCATTTACTGAACTACCGTCTGCATCGTCTCGTCGGGGATCAACCAACCTCACACCGCCAGGATCGTGTCAATATACTCGGCCACCTTGTCCCCAATGCCGATCGATTTCACATCCTTGCCACTGTTCACCTCGACATCGGCATCGCGGAGACGGCGTGCCGCACGCAGGAAAGCCGTGCCTCGCCCAGTGTGGCGCTTGTACAGTTCCTCCTCACCATATTCCACCAGTGCATCCACCAAAATCTGATTCTTCTCGACTTGCGCACGTTTGCTGCATACATCTTGCACAATAGGGGGCACCACCGAGTCGCGCTCCCTCTCGCCATACTCCCCTTCTTCCTCCTCTTCAGCTTCAGGATCGTACTCATAGTCTTCGTCACTGTCCGCATGCCCCTGCTCGAGAATCTGGTCAATCTTGGCCGCAACGCGTTGCCCCACCATATCAATGTCCTTGCTGGCTTGACGTCCAGACTTCACAACAGTCTTCGAGTCCCGAATGTGCTGAGCAGCTCGCAAATGCGAAATGCCCTTGCCTCGATGCCCAGAGTACAAATGGCTGTCGCCATAGTCGATCAAAGCATCGACAATGCGCTGGTTCTCCGGACATGCCGCCGGTTTGTCACGCAAATCCTGCACAATCGGAGCAACGGTATACCCGCCCCCACTGCCACGGGAATAGCTCTTCGACCCCGTCGTCTCACCAGTGTCCTGAACAATCCGACCGTGCTCCATGATCTGGTCAATCTTGTCCGCAATGACATCCCCAACCAGAGGAATGCTCGTCCGGGCAGTCGATCCCGATTTCACAACGTGATCAGCCAGCTGAATCTCACGCGCCGCTCGCAGGTGACTCGTGCCTTTGCCCGAACTACCAAAGTAGAGCTCGTGCTCCCCAAACTTTGCCAGCTCGTCCACTAGCACCTGGTTCTCGGGACATTTGGCCCGCGAATTGAAAATGTCGTTCACCAATTGAGGTCGCTGGTGTTGATTCACGTCCGTGCTCACGTTCTGGTCTGCAGTGTCATCCTTCACCTTGCCCGTGGCCAGTATCTCTTCAATTTGAGAGGCAAGCTTGTCCCCCACCATTGGCACCGCACGCGCCTCCTTTGCAGACGTGATGGCATCCGGGTGATCACGAATGTGAATGGCCGCTCGCAGATGCGAGACCCCTTTGCCCGTGTGCCCGCGATCAAGTTGCTCCTCGCCGTAGTTCGCCAAGGCATCGACAATCTTCTGGTTTGCCGAATTCGCCGCTTTCTGCTCCCGAGCCTCTTCCACCAACCGAATGGTTTTGTGGGGAGCCATCGACTCTTCTCGGCCTCCTTCTTCTTGGTCTTGCCCTGCCTGTTTGCGATCTTCAGCTTTGACTCCTACATGTCCAGCTCCGCCAGCAATGTCCTTCTCGCCCTTTGTCATTGTTGCATAAGCATACCCCGCTGCTACCGACTCTCCTCCATCGCCACCCCCATTTTCACCCCCACGCTTGCTCTTCTTGTTGCCCAGGTCCTTTTCCGATGGATGGGATCGCTTGTTGCGGCCGAACTTGGCCATGATCTTCTTCAAAGCAGACTACAAAACCCAGCAGCAGTTAGGAGCCGTGGTCAACGAACAAGGTCATCGCCTTTGGTTCTCCTCCTTACCTGTTCATCTCCGTTCGAGGCAAGAAGTGCCGTTGAAATATCACTTGTTGCCATGTACGGATTCTAGGATGACAGGTTTGATTCACATGAGTACCAAAAACTCCAAGCGACAACTCAACCTGTGCACAACCTACCTCAGGAATGTCTACGTGTTTGCTCTTAGCCAACTCGCGCAACTTCCCAATTTGCGCGTACACCGCATCGGCAGTCGCTGAATCTGTCATCTTGACCTAATAAGTTAGTTTTCCTGCCTGAACTGCAAAACGATAAATGAAGCAACAAGGCTGGAAGCTGAAACGTGTGAGACGTAGGCACCAGTTAGCTCGTAAGTACCGCAAAATAAGCGCGCTCGCGCAGAGTTGAGATATGTCTTTCAACGAGAACATCAGTGTGAGACGTGGGGGTTCTAACGGCCTTCAATCTCCTCCCGTTGCGTCGACCGCGTCACTTTACTTGGTAAGGCATGATTCAAATGATGTTTAAAACTTAGCTTCAACCTAAAGCACCAACCTCTTCTACTCTTGCTCGTCCATCGCAGTGTCTTCGGTCTCATCGTCGTCATCCGTAGAAATGTCTTCAGCCGAATGGAGCGCTACGCCTGTACTGATGAAGGTCGCGACCTTTTCTCCGATACATCCCAGAGCTTTTACGACGCTGCTATCCGCCACTAACTCGGCAGCATCTTGAAGGCGAGTCGCAGCAACTGCGAGCGCTGTTTCTTGCTCCTCTTCCTCGGAAATCGAGCTGTCGGAGCTCGCTTCATCTTGGTCATATTTCTCACCGACTCTCTCAACTGATGAAGTACGACCGACTGCACCGTCATCGTCATCGACGACTTCGTCCTCCTCAACCGCATTATCGTGTCCGTCTATGATGCTGTCAATTTTGTCCACCACGGAACACTCATTGAGCTCTTCTGCTGCCTGCTTACCCGTTGTCACCGTTACATCCGCGTCTCGAATGGCTTTCGCTGCACGCAAGTGGGTCACGCCTTCCTCCCACTGGCTCAGCTGAAAACAGCGATCACCGTAGTCAACCAGAGCATCTACAATGAACTGGTTCTCCGGTCGCACAGCCGAGTTTTCGTCTCGATCCTTCTCGCTAGTGTCCGTTTCAATAGTCTTAGCCGAACATGTAGCGCCCTTCCCGATGCACTTGTGCTCGAGGATCTGGTCGATTGCGTCGGCTATCACTGGCCCAACCAGCGCGACTTCCTCTCGAGCTTGAGCCCCCGAAGCTATGACGTGGTCAGTGAGCTGCAGTTTGCGTGCAGCGCGAAGGTAACTCGTGCCTTTGCTACCGTTCCGAGCATGAAGCTGGTGCTCCCCGTACCTCAAAAGTTTGTCAACCACTGGCTGGTTCTCAGCACATTTCGCAGTACTCGCCCGCAGCTCACGCACCAATCGAGGCTCCGTGGGCTTGTCCTCATCCGGGTTGCCCACCTCCGTCGTGTCTTCCACTTTGCCGGACTCTAGAATCTGCTCGACCTCTGCAGCCAATTTTGTCCCCACTAGAGGGACGTCACGTGCTTCAGTTCCAGTTGTGATGGCACTGGAATGATCGCGAAGAGCGCGTGCTGCTCGCAAGTGGGTGACACCTTTACCCGTGTGTCCTTGCTGAAGCTGCTCTTCTGCATAGTCGAACAAGGCGTTCACGATAACCTGATTAGAACCTACAGCCGCTGGTTTCTTGAGCACATCCTCTGCCAATCGCGGCAATTTGGGCGATGGCTCCTTGACTCTTTCCTCTTCAGCGTCAGTAGCAACTTCACCTTCCTCTGGCTTTGCCGATTCTGTCATTCCAACGTCTCCATCGGTCACTGACTGTTCACCAGTACTTTGTTTTGCATCGACATCATCACTTTCGTCTACCGCTGTATGGTCTCGCTTGACCCCTTTTTGCTTGCACGCTCGAGGCGAGCTATCGGGTTGTTGACCTTCAATTGCACCTACCATCGTCTTTGCTGCACGACACCGGCTTCAGCCTGGGAAATGAAAGAATGATCCATTGCGACGAGGTGTGACGCACAGATCGTATCGTGGCTTCTTTGCCGTTGAGCCGAGCCGTTGTCTCAATACTTTTCGTAACGCACAAATAACGCGGACTTGGGATGCAGCAGGGGGAGGAAGAATAGCGATGATAGCGACAAGCACTACGGGCTCTGCAAAATCACGAGATATCGCTGACAGAGTTACGCATGCTTTTTCGACAGCTACCTGCTTCGATCACGGGCACTACGTTTCAGAAGGCTACAGTCGAGATATCCCATTGTACTTGTAGGATCAACTGACACCCTGCTGCAAGCGTGGAGGAATACAAACATCAATCTACACGTCTAAGCGCAAATACTATCCGATGTACATCTTACGAAAGTCTTAGCGTACAGTTTGTTGGTTGTTGTGTTTCTCTTGCGACGTGGTGAGTTCAAGCCACTCCATCAAGTCTGCACTCGCATACGCTTGGGAAAGTGCGCGTCTAGTTTCAGCAGGCTTTCTCCACATATCTTTCTTCACGCTCGAAGCCACGCCAAATGGATATGGACGCAGCAGCTACTACTTCGTCTCCACTCGTCTCGGATGATCCTCCTGTCGTGGACAATCCTGGTGCCGAGTGGATGGCGCTTGTGACTTCCTATTTACGAGGAGTCGAAAGTTCTCGGGATGACCGTCTCATCCACGACCCTTTTGCCGAACCACTTAGTCGATCCCGACGGCCGGAGATTGAGAAGTTCATCGACGAGGTCTTGCGCAAGTTCTACTCGTTCCCCGAGAACGTCATTGCTCTCCGCACGCGATACGTGGACGGAGCTTTGTATCACCGTGACCCACGCATCCTCCAAATTGTGGTTCTTGGCGCTGGGCTTGATGCTCGTGCATACCGTTTGGAGTCGCTCCGCGGTTGTCATGTTCTCGAAGTCGATCAAAGTAATGCCATGTTTGAGCACAAGACTGATGTGATGAATGAACTGCATGCACCGCTTCTTGCTCAGAATGTCGACTGCATTATCTCGGATTTGGCCGCAGCTGGTCTTGAAGCAAATCTAATGGGTCACGGCTACAATCCCGCAATGCCGACTTTCTGGATCATGGAGGGGCTGCTTCCCTATATGGAGCGTTCGGCCATTGTCGAACTACTGAAGGTGATTGACTATCTGTCGGCTCCAGGGAGTGCGTTCTGGACGGATATGCCTGGTCAATGTTTTGTCGACGTGAAAGAGTGGGGGAGATACGCGGTTAAATATGGCGAAGATGATCCGCTGCAGGGAGTCTTGAATGAGATTCCATGGACGTTGGAAGTGCAGACGTCGCTGAAAGCAGAGGGAGATCACTTTGGTCGTCACTGGACGCCGATCCTATCCGCCCAAAGCAAACGAGTAGTTCCTATGTTTTTCGTCGTCGGTAAGAAACCGATTCCAGATGCGGTCGTGATGCAGAAAATGTGTCCCGGTCTCGACTTCGAGGACTAGTCGAAACCTAAGCGACCACGGCGGCTTCCTCGTTTCTTCAGGTGCATGTCATTTGAATTAAGGTATTGAACGATCCATTGAATTTGGTAAGGACAAATGCGCTTGCAGATGTGGATAGAAGATGTAGAAGCTAAACCCCGACAAGCGTCAACGCTGATGGGCAGCTCAAAGACTTGCCCAGCCAGCTCTCTGTCTCCGACGGTGCCGCATGTATCGATCGCGTGCTGGCATAGACTGAAAGGTGTCATAGAGTTTGCCCACACCTAATTGAATTGAAAATGAACCCACGTCAGCGAGATTTTTTAGTCGACAGACGTGGATTCAGTTTGCTGCGATATGCGATGGGCCCAGCGCCGAGTAGCTTTCGAGTACTTATCACGTAAAATAAGGAAAACAGTGCTGATGAGATACACAATGACAAGACTCCGCGCAAACAGTGTTGGAAATCGAGTGTGCTAGGGTACGTGCTTTTGTACATCGAAAAAGCTTTCAGTAGGATAGATGTATCCGTCATGTTTAGAGTATCCTCGCAGAATACTTCAGCTTTACGATCTCGGCATCTTATTGGCGCACTTGCTTCGTAGCGTAGCTCATGGAAGCGAATGACCGATTGCTCGGAGAGTCTCGATACACGAACGTGTACCGACAACAACAAGAGTTTTAAGTTTTACTGGCGAGTGCACACAACTGATCAGCAGTACCAACCAACTACATCAATGAAAAGTGCCGAATCGCATGCAGTTCTACAAATGTATCGAATTTGCCAACCGTTCGAGATAAACCAACGAGGTATTACAGGCAACACGTCCGTGCCGAGTCCGGCCATGATGGAGTACAAACGCTGTAGGTGAAGGCTGTCGACTGCATTCAAGAGTCGAGGGCACTTTAAAGGCCTTCAATCAATCGCAAAAAGGAGCGCACAACGCTGATTACACGAAAGGCAGAGGAAGACGGATGCACGCTATTTGTCGTTTGTAAGTAAGACGATCATCTGATACACTCGCTATGATTCGAGCTGGCAATTTTACGCTATTGGAAGTCCGACCATAAGCGGGATTGCTCCAGCGCGTTGTTTAGTGAACGCATTTATCAACTAGTACTTGTATAGCTTGCTCATGTATCAAGTGGGTCTGTAGTCTCGTATAAATTCATTATGGCAACTGGCTCGCGCACAACAAGATTTGTTGTGGATGTATTGACTGATGTTGAAGTTCGATCTGCGTTGGAAGTACAACCGACGCATCTCATTCACCGATCTAATTGTACGGCAAACTTTGATAAGTGCTGGATCACTCCCACGTATCAATATTTCAATTCGGTCTCACGGTAAATTAACGGGGTGGGCCTGTTGCATGCAACTATCTTTGATGCTTGTTATTAGAATACTATCATAAAGGTTGATAATGGTCGTGAACATTACCCTAGGGGGTAATGTTCAGAGACACTCATCGATTGGCTGATATGGGCCCTCATATTAGCCAGCTCTTGCGGTCCAATCGACGATGGACGCGCCCAATGAGCGGTGAGCAAGACGTTAATATGCATTTTTGTAGATAAGTACGATTAAGTTAGGCCTAAACATAGGTACATATAATTAAACTCGATTCTATTTAATACAGTTTAACTTTCTACTCCTACTGAACGCGTCGGTCATCAGCTAGCCTTCCTCTGCATGTACAGTGGACTTGAAGTGACGCGAGGCACAACTGTGTCAAAGCGGTCACAAGAAAAGTTCTATTGGGACTTGGCACGGCGATCACACGGGTCGCACGCTCCAATTAAGCCAAGAATGCTATGATTGGTGGATACAAGCCGGGACGGGTGGCTGGCAATAGCGTACCCAAACCCCAAGTGGACAGGATCGTCCAGCCTGGGACAAGGCTATAGGGTGGTCACACCCGTTTTGATTACGCAATCCGTCGTGAGACATGGCAAGACAAGACCCTCGATCTCACTGGAAGACCGCGATCCTAACCCAGGATCGCAAGTCCGATCTCCAGCTGCGATCCGCTAACGGGATCACGATCCGCTAACAGGATCACGATCCGCTAGTAGGATCAAGATCCGCTAGTAGGATCACGATTCGCTAGTAGGATCACGATCCGCTAGCAGGATCATGGGGATTACTTGGGTGGGCCACAGGAAGATACAATGGTTGATATACTGGGTGTGGACCACACAAATGCGAGGGGACGATCTTCCTGGAAAGGCGACGCGTGGCATCGGGTTAGGATATACAGATAGTCATAGGGATAGGGTTTAGGTTGGTTGGTTGACATTAAACAGAGTTCAAATTACTTCACAAGGCACACGTTGTCTCTTCCGGGTAGGATCTTTGGCCCCCGTCGAATAAAGAGTCGCGCTACACGTCTAAGCAAGTGTCACACCTGGATTGTTTTGGCCAGGTGTGTTCAAGAACTCTCAAGCAACATCAACTGCGATCGGACGCAGCAAGACACGTAAAGGCAAGGCGCAAGATTGCGAGACGGCTCAAGTGGTCAGAAGGCTCGAGGATCAAGCAACTACATAGTGGACAAGGCGATCTCGTCGAGATCAGGGTAACTTATATCAGTACCCACAAGTACCCCGTGATCGCGTGAAGATTTCCGCACGATCACAACCCCATCCCCAACACGGTCAAGTTTTCCTTCGACACGAGTCCACCTGGAAGAGTGCAACCCGCCGTACCGACGGGTACACAAGGTGAGGAAGGCAACACACACGAAATCGGAGTAACCCCTCCGTTATTCGGTCATCCGGGCGTCAGTGGAGAGTTGGGATCGACTCATAAATTGATCGATCGCCACTTCACCACAGTAGTGCGCGTGCCTGGATCTTCTGGTGACTCGAGATTTCACCGTAGGTCCTTAAGTGAAGAAGTGAAAGTCAAGACTGAATCTGGGTTGAAAGCGTTAGAGGCAAAGGGATCGCCTCCGATGCGTGATTTTAAAGGACCCCCGGATTAATAGAGTTTTGGGAGGGGCTCTGATGACAAGAAAATCAAAGAGGAAGATCGACCAATCGATCTGGAAGATAGACCCCTAACCACTCCAGGTGTCCCTTTTGGGACCACCGCGGATCGTGCTGCAAAACACAATCCGCTGGGTGAAAACCCTTCAGCGAAAAGTGAACAAAAACTACACAAACCACTCATGCGATGTCAAAGAAGGCGACTTTAAAGACAGGTCGAGTGAAGAAAGAGAGCCCAGATCGGATAGACACGATCGTGGCGTGAAAACGATCGTGAAACCGATCAAGTACGTGGACGATGCTCTGGATACGAATCTGGAAGGCTGGCAGTTGGATCAACTGGCGCAGGGGTTCCATTGGAAGGCGCTCAAGAATCTGCTATCGAGCGACCCCGTGCTACGGATATTGAATCCTAAGCTAATCGGAGAGATACAAGGCCCGATATCCCGGCCGAAGGTGGCGACTAACGCAGTAGAAGGGATCAGCGCGATCATCCAGCTGCTGCAAGATGCTGGATACGTCGCTGGGGCGCTCGATGCGAACGAACTGCTGGAATGCGATCAGGATCAGGTGATCCATGCGTGTCGATCGCTGTATGTCAAGCTAATTCCTCTATCGGGTAAGTGTGATTCCGCGGATCAAGCGGTTGCTACAACGCCGATGTTTCGAGGCGGTATCATACCGGATCGTCACAATATGCCTCGGCGGAATCAGATATGGAGTCGGACGATTCGGTCGGCATCCAGCGAATGTATTTAGGCCCAAGTGGTGCAACACATATGTGCAATCGAGTCGAGTCGGTGAAGCTGAACTCGCGATCGAAGGCCACAGGCGCTTAAGAGCAGATGACAACTACTGCGCAAGGACTCCTGCAGACATATTTCGATGAGGCCATGGAACGTTTTCTCCAAGATCAACGGGAATGAGCGTATCAAGCGATCTATCCTAGTCAAAAGACTAAGCCTGCTAGATGCCGTGAAAGATAAACCCCCGATGTGGAGATGGAATCGGTACAGTCGCGCATCAGTCAATCGGAGGTTTTCGACCCTGACGACATCGATCCCGATGATTCGGTACAAAAAGATCGTAGACACGCTATGGTAGCTACGACCGAGACGTTGTAAGATTGTGGTAGCATACCTCAACGCATTCGAGTGTCGGCGATGACAGAGATGAAAGAATTCAGTGGCAAGGATCGACATGAAGATCGGTTCAGAAGCTGAATCAGCAAGGTCAAATCATCCTTCTTGCGCGATTAAGCACCCGATGAGGAGAATTGTTTGTGTTTGGAGATCTGCTGACAGGACCCGCTCGAAAATGGTATAATTAACTAGGTCGATATACTCGAAATAAGTGGAAGAGATTGCTGGATGAGTTTATGGTACAGTATGGAGGGCAAGGTGTGTCTCTAGCAGACAATACCATCTCGCACGAAAACGATCGGATGAAAATCCACACGAGTATCTACACCGCCTAAATGTCACAGCTAAGCATGCAAGATCGTGATCAGAGACGAGAGGATGGCCACATCGGACACACGTCGTGAACACGTGACAAATTTCATTGCCACGTTGGACGATCGCGATCCGGCCAAGCAGCTGACCCTACTACGATTGGCCGATGTCAATGAGTTGGATAAGACGTTACGTGCATGCCAAAGGATGGAGAGTCGTCAATTAAAGACGTCGACAGGATCGAACAAGTTTCACCAGCGAGCGAATGCCTCCCCAAATCTTACGTCATCCAAGACTGCTCGGGCGGTGAGGGCAATCCGCTAGCGGATCGAAAGTAGCGGATCAGAATCGGACTCGATTGGATCGGATGAAGACAAGGATCGCCGCCGAGTTTGTGTGACCACTGCATCTGGTCAAAAGAGATCGGATCGAGATCATCGTACCTGGAAGAAGAATAAGGGAGAAGAAGATAAACGTGATCGAGGTGGGAAACCGAAGGCATGCAACCACTGCGGATCGACGTGACATGATAATCGTGGATTTTAGCAGACACTAACGTGCCAGAAGTGCAGTCGCAAAGGGCATTCGTCGGACAAGTGCTTCTACGTGTGTGCAGCATGTGGAGAGGTACATGAGAATGGCAGATTTTTTTAATTTGATCCGCCAGTGGTATGTGCCTACTAAGCATGCGGGTATGTTTCCTCCGAAGGTCGAGGAAATGTTAAACTAGGACGCTCGCCAGGTTGGAATCTGGCACGAGCCGAGCATTCTAGGCTATGCATATATGCATTTGTTGAGAAGAAGTCGGATGACCAAGTAGTTAAGGATTGGTGCGATCCGATCTCTACTTTTATGTGATCGTTCAAAACGGACCTTTCTAAAATCAAGTGTGAAGCGAGTGGACTATTATGCCCGATTCCCGGTAGAGATGGAGCTCAATCTCACTACAGGTGATTCGAGGGGTACTGAAAGTATAATACTCCGGGAAAATGGTTCAAACAAGCGAAAGCAGTGGGCAAGATCAACAATGAGAAGGCCACTTTTCTGTTTGACTCTGGTGCGGAGATCTTGATCATCGACACTACCTTTGCTCGTAAGGTAGGGTGTGTGATAGACGAGAACCAAACACAAGAATGTGTTGGGACCGGAGAGAGTACTTATATGACGGTTGGACGAACCAAGACCAAGATCACACTGAACGGATCACTAGTGTATTATTTTGATGTCTGGGGCGGACATCAAGTCGGTCAAGAAGCTATTCTAGGCATGGACTTCATGGTTCCTGCAGGTATCCTTTTGGATTTGGCCGAAGTAACCATTTGCCTGCCCGATTTAGTTCGAATCTGTCTGGCTGGACGAAGAACACCGAAGCGATCGAAGATATCGGCGGTCAACATTAACGATCAACATATAGCCATTGCGGCCGGCAGATCGGCAGGAGTCAGGATAGGCGTCAACCGTCCTAGATCTAAGCGTTGGGTGCGATGGGATGCGGCGTGGATTCCTGCCGTGACGAATGGTTCCGTAAGGATTAAGTTCCTGCAGCTTACAAATGTAAGCGATCGTGACTTGACTTTAAGCTGCGGGGCCCCTTTAGCGTTGTGGATGACAGAAGGCATGATCCCGCACATTAAAGGATATGTATCTGTAGGATCGCGGCGGTACATGGAATGGCAGAAATTGGCTTTTGAAGCCACTACAGATCGAGAAGAAGAAGCCGAAGCCTACATGGACCCGTTAGTGGATCGTCCTACGTATGAGAAACCTACCCGAATTTTGACACGCTTAAAACGGACAATCAGACGACATCAAAGATTCTGCAGAGATCGCCTAACTATACGACTCTAGTGGTGACTCTAATGAGGGGTTGCAGGACGAATTTACGAGTGGAAAGAATAACGAAGACAAGGATGGTAGATCGACAATGAGATCTTGTGCGGTCAACGCAGTGCGGAAGACGCCAGAACATTTTGGGTGTAGAGGACATGGTTGCAGAGGAGGCTATGACACCGAAAGACAACCATGAGATAATTGATCCGCTACAAGGACAGTCCAAGTGTCACCCAGACGGGATCAAGGTCAAAGATCGGGAGGTTCATGGCCAGTCTACACGACTAGATGACGACGTGAAAGCTGTTACGATCGACGGCGAAGTAATGGAAAATGATGTACCGGATGAATCAACATACTACCACGAGGAAGGTGAACTGTTCACGGAAGATGTGAAATATCACACGGCTGTGCTGATGGAGGTAATAATATCCACGACCGAGATAACTATAGACGATGTCCAGGTTGGCGACCCTGGAATGCCCTTGACAGAGGATCAAGATGAATTGCGACGACTGATATGGAAGAGTCGTCACCTGTTGATCGGGAAAGGAAATGCATTACCCCCTGCAGCACGCGAAGCCGTTTGTGATATTAATGTGGGAGAGGCGAGGCCGATCGCTCAGCGTGTACAATCTGTTGCGCCAAAGTTTCGTGAGAAGTTGGCCGATCTGATAAAAGGCATGTTGTCAGCCAAGATTAGCCGACCTTCGACATCGCCATGGCATCACCAATAAGCGTGATTGTTACGAAAAATGGAGAATATATCCGACTGTGTATCGACTATCGACGATTTATTCATCTAACACAGCTGATGGTGTACCTTATGCCAATTTTAGTGAATTGTTGCAGGACATGGACAAAGCAATGTGGTATATTTCGCTGGACATGGTGAGTGGATTTTGGGTGGTAGAGATGACCGAACGAGCAAGATCGATCTCTGCGTTTATCACGCCGCCAGGTCTGTTTGAATGGTCGCGGATGCCTTTTCGATTGAAGAACTCCCTACAGATATATCAGCGTTTGATTGATGATGCTCTCTATGGTTGTCTCAAGATCGGCGCAGATAAGGATGCGAATGCAACGGATCGTCCTAAGTTAATTGATGTGTTTACTGAGGGAGAGCCGGAAACGGATCAAGCGTCGTCAGTGCTGGGCAGGCGATCTTATATTGACGATAGATTGATCCCGGCTAAGTCATGGACATCTTTGTACAACATGGTCGAAAGATTATTGACAGCATGCGATCGATGGAATTTGTCGATCAGTCTGACCAAGAGTTTTTGATGACGGCGTAAGGTGGATTACTTAGGTCATCAGGTATCTTTGGCTGGGTTAGAGGCCAATCCTAAAGATCTAGGATCGCTGGTCAACATTCCTTTTCCCAAAACTTTGCGATCCATGCAATCGTTCCTGGGTAGCTTGAACTATTACAGGCTTTTTATTAAAGATTTTGCAGTATATGCATCTGTGTTGTACGAGTTACGAGAGGCGAATTTTTCGAGATAAGCCATATGGGAGATCGTGATGCGATGTCGGGAAGTTGCGATAACACATTACAAGGGGGTGAGCATGATTCAAATGAGCGATCTATGTGGGAAAGGACCGTCATTGCATTTACTTTGCTGAAGGCCAAGACTGCTGCAACCCCGATCCTCAAACATTTCGATCCAGATCGACTTCCAGTGATCTTGGTATATGCTAGTAAATAAGCAGTATCGGCATCTTTTTCGCAAGATCATGACGGCGTGTACTGGCCGGTGACATTCACGAGCCGCACACTGAAGCCTAATGAAGTTAATTATGGTATGGTGGGGAAAGAAGTTTTAGCTCTACTTCGAATCTTGGAAGTGCGCTACACCATGCTAGTATCCTAAGAGATCAGGGTGCGTACTGGATATTCGACATTAGCTTGGCTAGTTCAATCTTCTGGCCTCAATGAGAGACTGGGTGATGGGCTGCGCTACTATCGAATTGGACACTGGAGGTCAAGAGATGTGACATAGGAGAGGATGAAATACAAGGCGCTCTCACAGCTATTATAACTCCGCGAGATGAGGTATATGATGTGCTGATTGCAATCGCTCCACAGAAGAAACCTAAACAATTGGTAGCTATGCTACCTCTCACGGTAGGTACGGATGAGAGCCTGTTGGTGGTCAGTTTCGACGGATCGGCACGGACTAAACGGAAGAGGGGGGCATGTAGTGCAATCGTGTGGATGCTACCAGAATGGACCATCATCTCAGCCGCTTCGGAATACGCGGCAGATCTGACGGTGAATGCAGCTGAATATCGTGGCGTGTTGTTGGGTATCGATCTGCTGGACGACCAAACTAGGCGACGAGTCATTATATGTCGTGATTTGAACCTAGTGATCAGTCAAATGCGGGGAGAGATGGGTTGTAAAGCGCCCGGGCTACAGTTATTGCGTCATGTAACAATGCAAAACTTCGATCTTGGCCAGAACACGAGTTCCTACACATGAAGAGGGAGTGGAACCAAAGTGCAGATCGACTAGACAGTGCAGCTTTGCAGCAAGAGGAAGATGTCATTGCGAACTTAGATCAAATATTGCAAGATTTGATATCACTCCACAGGCTACACGAGTTTCTTTCTGCCGGAAAGGACGGATCGCGTGGTGAAAATGATAGTGATCACACGATCCACGCGGCGAATGCGTCAACAACCCGAAGTTTTACAAGAAAACATAGTGCAGCGGATGCGGATTGAGCGGATAAAACAAGCGCAAAAGGAAGAGAGCTGGATCGCCAATCTGAAGGAATATCTTGTGGGCGATCTGACCCAGTTAAACGCAGAGGATGCAAAATCATGCGCTCGGATTGCTCCAGACTACGAATTGGACGAAGACGTATTGCTATTCTTCATCCCCCGATCCGCTAAGAAATCGGATGATCGTAGAGAGATGGTCCGTCTGGTTTTACCGGAACTGTTGCAGCAAGATTTTATGCCTAATTACCACAAAAGCTTGAAAGGTGGTCACCAGGGGATCGGGAGGACTTATCAGCGGATCAGATCCAATTTTCACTGGATAGAATTGTATCGAAGTATACAACGTTACGTTGGCGGATGCGTGGACTGTACAACCAAGAAGGGTCTACACGCGATCCGTGGCAGATCCCCGGGAGACATACAGGCTACACACCCATTTCAGGTGATCGCGATGGATCATATCCCATCATTGCCGCGGTCATTAAGAGGAAACACGGAACTGCTGCTGTAGGTAGATCTTTTCTCAGGATATGTGATCGCTAGAGCAAGTTCGTCGAGGACCGCGCAAACGATCGCTGAAGGATATGAAGAATGTGTGTTTCGAAGATTTGGAGCCAGTGAAGTTTTACGTCACGACAGGGAGCCTGGATTTATGTCCGATTTTTTTCGAGCATTTAATTGGATCGCAGGGCAAAAGCAACGTGCGACCATGGCATACCGACCGCAAGCGAAAAGAACTGCGGAGCGTAGGATACAGACGTTGACTCGGTCGATTTAGATGTACGTCATGGACGTAGAGCAGAAATACTGGAATGAATTTGCAGAAAGATTAACATTCGCTATGAATACGGCACAAGATTGGATTCGAGGAGACACTCCGTTCTATTTGATCCATGGCTGGGATCCAAGATCGACATTGGAAGCAACATTACCGTTGGGGAGCACTAAAACACGCGATGCTGACCCTAGAAGGTGGCAATATAACGTCCAACGTCAATCCAAGAGGGAAAGAGCAGTGGTAAACGAACATCTCAAGATCGCGACCCAAGATGGAGTGGATCGACAGAATGACAATAATGAAGTGTGTGATATTTAGTGCGGATCGCAAGTTTGGCTCTACTTGGACCAAGTCAAAGACGGCTGTGCACGAAAGTTAGGACATATGTGGCATGGACAGTTCCGAGTGGCGGAGTTAGGTGGGGAAAATGCTGTTCGGGTGGAGATTCAGGATTTCCATACCGATTGTTCCCGATAGTACACGTCTCCAAGTTACAGCCAGTGGTATAATTTCCCGATCGCCTAGGCAGTGTGCTAGTGACTAACTGTGAGGATCGTGTGGATTTCGATATGTCATTGTTGCCGGAATATAGTTGGAAAAACGAGTTGGCTGCTGACGAACACGAAGTGGAGAAAATTTTGGGTGTACGATCAGGACGTAAAACTTATTATGGCCGAGTGCATCTACAGTTTTTGGTTTAATGGAAGCAACACGATGATCCGACCTGGATAGACGAAGCGGACCTGAACTGTGGCGCGTTGTTGCAAGATTTTGAGCGCAACCGTGCGAGTCAAAACCGATTTGAAGTTTTGCAGTCCTATGAGGAGGAAGCCGAAGGTTAACGGGTAATTGAAGCGATGAGCGGTTGGCGCATGCTAAAAGGTTGACGTGATATGGTGGATGGGTATATGTACAAGGAGGTTGTATGAGATGATGGACCGGGGCTATACGTAAAATGAGTGGTGATGGCAGATCGAAGGGATCCAATCGCGGCTGAAAAGCCGAAAAAAAGAAGTTTATCTCAAGATGAAGAACAAGATGAAGGATCAATAGAAATTATTTTGAATTATGGAACTATTTGAATCGAATCCTGGCGATCAAGCAGGAAAGAACTTACCTGGCAATCGTACGATCGATGATCCGGGGTGGTCAGCGATAGAGGATCGATACCGAAAGCGCCAAGGTTCATCGGCATCCAGCGAGGGGAGAGCAGCGATCAAATTGTGGATGCCCTTCGGTTTGCATCCCAGGCCAGGATACCAAGAGTAAGCCTCTTTGAAAGAAGGGAAGTGCAGAAAGAAGGGATCCAACAGAATGTCCAGGTCACAATGACCTGCGATTACACCTCGCACGATGAGTCGAGAGATCGCCTTCCACCGAGGCCCAGCTCGCGACCGACGCTGCTTCCGCTGTTTCCAGAACTGGTCCAGCTCAGGATCGCTGACCTGCTGTTCACTGAAAAAGAAGATCGCTTGCGTCGACTCCCACAAAGCGTGTCGGTTTCAATCCTCGAACTCCAAGTATAGAGACGAGAGCAGGTCGAAGTAGCCGGTACAAGGGAAGGAGATTGGCTCAATCAGACGTGTGGCTGTCTCATAAGGCTCTTGGGCGTATAAGGCCGCGATCTGGGCCGAACACGCCAGCCGAGGTGTCCACTCAGATGTGGGAGGAGGACACTTGGACACCATTATCGTCGGTAATATATAGACTCTGGGACGGGATAAGTGGCGGTACAGGAAGTCAGTGTCCATCTCCGCGACGCTCGTCCAACTGACCTTGCGTGCCGACCAGGGAGAACTCTGAGTGCACGATCGCGGTACGCGATCTCGATATCCAGGGATCCACTGGTCGCGAGAGACTTTAGTGGGGGGCAAGCTATCATAATCCGCAAGAGATAACATCGGATTGACGTGGTCATGAGGCGAATCAGAAAGGCTGAAGGAACCATCTAAGTCGCTGGACGCTTCTCCGAAAAGGTCTGCGCGAGATGCTTTGGTCACGGTAGGAATAACAGGATCAACCAGAGGTGGACGATCGCGCGAAGGGCTCAGCGTGTCTATGACGATCGGTTCCGGAGAAGGCCCAGCCGAAGGTTGTGCCGCCAGATTGGACGATCGACGACGACTGGAGGATCGCGAACCGGATAAAGCCGCTAAAGTATCATCCTCACCTACCGATGTATCCTCTTCCTCAGAAGAAATTTAACTCGGACCACGGCGCCTCTGCTTGCCCAGTTTCGGGGTAGCTGCAGGCTTCGCTGGTTCATGGCGATTCTTGAGATCGCGATGACCCTTAGGATCTCGGGTTCCCTTGGGAGAGAAAGAAGGCTTGGGATCGCAAACTTGGGACGGCTTGGCTTTAGTAGTAGCGGATCGTGCCACCTTGGGATCGCGAACTGAGGATGGCTTGGCTTTGGACGCAGCGAATCGTGCCACATTGGGGTCGCAAACTGGGGACGGCTTAGCTTTGGACGCAGCAGATCGAGTCACTTTCTTGGAAGTCGGCATAGTTGACGATGGTAGGGAATCGCAAGATCCCTTGCGACTCGATCCTGAAAAGTTCGACATCGGCTGAGGATTCGCGGGAACGGGCGTGTGGGTAGACAATCCCACCTTCGTAGGTGTGGCTGAATTAACCCCAGACACCATTGTCGCCTTGCGATCCCGAAAGGTCGTGTGATCTTGTATTGCGCGATCACGTTCGGAAGCCACGTCCGCGAGCTGAACTCGCATCTGGTCCAACGTAACGTCACGACCTGATACGATGCGACGCAATTGATCATACTAAGCGGATCGGGCGGATAGAAAATCCTGCGCCTTGCCCAGTTCGGCCTGAATCCCCGATACCTGCTTGAGCGCGCGACACAGATTTTCCTGGTCGGCCTGGAGCCTCGCTACTTGTGTAAGTGCACGACGCAGCTTCTCTTGGAGTTGGAGGCCGGTTTTTTGTACTTCTACTTTTTGCAATTGGCCTTGTCCATGCTGTGGGACAACTTGTCGCATTCAGCAACCAATCGCTCTCCCGCCTCGTCCATCTGCTTGCGTATCCCGGCGATCTAACGATCGGCTGTCTCCTGTGCGGCATGAAGTGCTCGCACAGTCCGGAGAATTTCAGATTCCAGATGCTCGATCAAAGCGGTCTGGTCGTCTCGGTTGGCCAACGCCTCCCGAAAGGCTTCGGACTTCTTGACCTCGTCTTCATAGCGAACGCGCAAGCGGTCGTACTTCGATTGGGCGAGCTGAACGAAAGGGGACGCGGAGGTGCGGAGCTCCTGAAGGTCCTCACCCAGCTGGCGATTTAATATTATCTGCTGCTCCAAATCAGCCTCCATACTCTGGTACCGATCCACGACAGTCTGTTGGAGGTTCAGGCGAAGGTAAAAAAAGCAAATCTATCGCTGCGTTTAACGTGGCCCGACCGACCGAACACGAGGCTTCGATCCGAGTACTTGGGAGCAATATGGGCTCACTCGGATCCGGAGTCGGGACATTTTGGCCGGCGGAGGTCCTGTTCGGAGCGGGGATCGAAGAGGATTGCGACATAGGGTTCGCGATGGAAAACCAACCAGAGCCTTCCCCCATCTGGGCCGACGTCACCACAGCTGAGCGATCACACTCAGTCACCGGCAAGGTGGAGGCGTTTAAGATCGCAGGACTGGTAGGCGTCGAGGTTCCGATATCTGAAGTTGGGATCGCAGAGGGCGATCCGAGGGGCTCCGGTCCTGAAGCAGGAGGAGATGCCTGATCCGGATGGGCTGGATCGGACCTCGTGTCAGAAGATGCGAAAGTGCTTGACAAGGAATAAAGCACACAAGGTTGCACAGCCAGATCAACAACGTATGTTGACTGACGGTGCAGGGGGCCGTTGTGGCAAAGCGGTCACAAGAAAATTTTTACAGGGACTTGGATCGGCGATCGCACGGGTTGCACGCTTCATTTCAGCCAAGAACGCTATGATTAGTGGATACAAGCCGGGACGGGTGGCTGGCAATAGCGTACCCAAACCCCAAGTGGACAGGATCGTCCAGCCTGAGACAAGGCTATAGGGTGGTCACACCCGTTTTGATTACGCAATCTGTCGTGAGACATGGCAAGACAAGACCCTCGATCTCACTGGAAGACCGCGATCCTAACCCAGGATCGCAAGTCCGATCTCCAGCTGCGATCCGCTAACGGGATCACGATCCGCTAGTAGGATCACGATTCGCTAGTAGGATCACGATCCGCTAGTAGGATCACGATCCGCTAGTAGGATCACGATCCGCTAGCAGGATCATGGGGATTACTTGGGTGGGCCACAAGAAGATACAATGGTTGATATACTGGGTGTGGACCACACAAATGCGAGGGGACGATCTTCCTGGAAAGGCGACGCGTGGCATCGGGTTAGGATATACAGATAGTCATAGGGATAGGGTTTAGGTTGGTTGGTTGAAATTAAACAGAGTTCAAATTACTTCACAAGGCACACGTTGTCTCTTCCGGGTAGGATCTTTGGCCCCCGTCGAATAAAGAGTCGCGCTACACGTCTAAGCAAGTGTCACACCTGGATTGTTTTGGCCAGGTGTGTTCAAGAACTCTCAAGCAACATCAACTGCGATCGGAAGCAGCAAGACACGTAAAGGCAAGGCGCAAGATTGCGAGACGGCTCAAGTGGTCAGAAGGCTCGAGGATCAAGCAACCACATAGTGGACAAGGCGATCTCGTCGAGGTCAGGGTAACTTATATCAGTACCCACAAGTACCCCGTGATCGCGTGAAGATTTCCGCACGATCACAACCCCATCCCCAACACGGTCAGGTTTTCCTTCGACACGAGTCCACCTGGAAGAGTGCAACCCGCCGTACCGACGGGTACACAAGGTAAGGAAGGCAACACACATGAAATCGGAGTAACCCCTCCGTTAGTCGGTCGTCCGGGCGCCAGTGGAGAGTTGGAATCGACTCATAAATTGAGCGATCGCCACTCCACCACACTACCTACACTCTTATCAGGGTAGGTGCATAAGCTGTAATGGGGCGCTGATCACTAGTAATACTAGAACTGAAGCAGTACTAGAGACCAGTGCGCCGTTACGCCTAGTAGCCCGTTATAGTGTGCTAAGGACCGCAACCCCTACATTTAACATGAACATGCTAGGTGGTAATAGTGACAGCTTTCACTCCACACGTGAATGCTAATCCTATGTAAGTGACATCGAATGGAATGCGGTTGATCGGATGTATTTGAGCGTGAGCGAAAATGCCATCTCTGCCATGCTGTCCGCACTGGACAGAGATGGGCGGCGTGTCGCCGTCGCCAAGTCCATACAACATGAACTTGAAGAGTCACGGGAGAAATTAACCTTGCTTCACCAGCAAGGTTCTCAACAGGCAAAGCGTGTTCAGATAACAGGATAATAAACAGTTTGAACTGTTGATACAACAGCAGGAACGTGCTGCTGTTCCCGGGGCGATGCACGCGGGTCGACCCGAAACTTTGAACAAAGGCATTTCAAAGTACACAGGAGTCGAGGAAGACTCCCTGATGAAATGGTTCGTCGAGTCATACGATGCCAAAAAGGCTTGTCGAATCGTCGATGATCAAATGAAAATCACATTTTCTCGGTCGAACCTGGCTAGACGTGCCAAAACTTGGGCATCAGGGCTCAAGTTGCACGACCCATATATGTTTGGGTCGCTGAAGGTCTTTGAGACGCAGCTTAGACAAACTTATAAACGGCCAAGGGCCCAATCAGAGCTCCTGGAACTCAATCAGGGTAAGCAAGATGTGCACGCTTACGCCCAGCACGTACGACTCCTTGCGAGTTGAATCACGGCCAACCCGGTTCATGAACCCACATTGATCACTATGTTCATGTAGTGTCGTGCTGATGGCACCGTCAATGCTCACCTGCTATGCTTGGAACTGGATACGCTAGAAGAAGCAATGTCAGTCGCGGAACAAGAAGACAATAGCTTGATACAGGCTCACGCTAGTTCGGGTTCATATTGTTCCTCAAACGAAAAGAAGTCGGAGGTCCAAAACCTATGGACCTCTGTTATGTTAAGAGCGAGAGAACTTGCTCCTTAGCCAATTATCGATTGCAGAAGTGCGATCGCTGTCAGAAGTTAAGACACTATGCTTACGAGCGTAGCACCCTACGCCTAGCATCTCGAAGTACTGAGCGGCTGATATACAATTTTCCACCAACGGCAGAGGACGCGGGCCCAACATTGTTGCGTAATTGCAACAGCGTAGTGGACAGTAAAAACGTTCAGGATCAGTAAGGGCGAAGCTCCCTGCTAATCCAGCAACCTCAAGTGAAATTTTAAATCTCTTGAAGAAAGTTTCTCCATACTCACAATCACTGTGTGTCTCGGCACTTGGTATCGTTATACCCCTTACATCATTGTAGTTAAAAGCAACGTATCGTGCCTTAAAAGACTGTGGGGTGTCGAACAACTTTTTGGTCGCCAGTCTCTAGAAGATCGTAGGCTCAATTTCAATGAGCGAGATTTCTTCGACGTGGATGACGGTGCGCCTAGCAACAGGCACACCGGTAGATTTGATGAAACGTTTAATGTGACTTCATTACACGCTAGAAAATCTAGAGTACTATGACAATTTGATTGTACTTGATTCTGACAACTTTGATATTATCCTGGGTTTTCCATGACTCAAAAAATACGAACTAAGGGTCAGCTGGCAGCATCGAACCGTAAAGATAGCTGCCATGTGTTCATCAGATGTCCACATGATAAACATCTTGGAGAGTCCACAAGCGTGTGGATGTACTGCGATTGAGATGGCCTCACTTGCGGTACGGTCGTTAGTGCGACTTCGCAAGATCACAGTGAGACGACCAACCACACTGTGGAGGAGCTGCATGCGGCTGCGCAGATGTACAGGCAGAGCCGAAGGTTCACCTTTCGAAAAAATTGGGGGGATGGGGACATGGGTGTACGACAAGCGGGCGACATTCAAGCAAGAATAAATCAGTTGCCCACACTAGGCAACATGATGATCCTAGATCGGCTGGAGAGTCGATCGTCGAGGACCTAGCCGTGGTAGCGCAACCTCAGTAAGAAGACGTCAAGGGAGTAAGTCTCCACGTACTTGTGGAAATGTTTCCTCAAGCAGTGATTGATGAGGTCACAGGTTCTCGTCAATTTGAGAGAATGGGTCCCCATCATCCTGTGGAAAAGATTTCTGGAAATAAACCGTGACATTGAATGTATTGGTAATGTCGGGTCAAGTGTAGGCGCTTATACTCTTGATCTGATCGCTCCTTTGTATGTGAATTTGGAGATCATACAATTGCCAACGCTAGAATCGAAACGGCTCTTGAGAGATCTGCGTAGTTGCAAAGATAAGCAGATTTTTGTACTCGTCACAGAGGATGGGTGCGTGACTGACATTCGGTGGTCAGTATTGTGAGCCGAGAACGAACGGAATCTTAGCAGCTCATAGATGGACGAAAGTGTTTTCGACGAGAAAACTCGATACACGCGATACACGTCTCGATCTGAAGATTCGCTTCAGGAATTCCTCTTCATCAGGGTTTAATTGATTTCAAGGATGTGCTTCATAAATCCTTACCATTTGATTTGCCTTAAGATACAGACACTGGACATGAAATAGAGCTTTTATTGGTTTTGAAGTACTGTGTCATGAAGCAGTGGCCACTGCCTCGTGAACAAAAACTTGATATCGACAAATTCTTTGCTAATCATTTAAAAGCGAGTCATGTGAGAGAGGCAACCTCCCCACATAAGTCTCCGACCTTCTGTGTGTGTAAGGCTACAAGATAATGGCGGATAGTGCATGTATTCAACAAGTCGAATGCTAAAACGGTACGTGTGCAGTCGCTGATATTGAGGAAGGATGTCATCATAGATGGTGTGTTGAAAAGTACCATTTTCTCGTCCTTTGATATGATAGATGGATTCTATTAGATCCTCATGCGTGATGGGGACGTTTTGTTCACAGCAGTGAGCACCCCGAGTTGTATACTGTGGGAGTGGCTAGTGATGCCTCAGGGAATAAGTAACGCCCCTGCGACGTTCAAGAGGTGTAAAAGCAAATTGTAAAGACCGGTGCGAAATTTCACACTTATTTACTATGACGATGTGTGCGTCCATAGCAAGGATGTGGATACAAAGACGGATGTGCAGGTTCACAGGATGCACGTTCGTCAAATTTTTACACCAGTGCAGAAGCATAATCTGTATGCTAACCTCAAGAAGATTATAGTTGCTGCTAGCTAAACAACTACTTCTTTTGCGCATCGTTTTTTAACACGGCGTACGCCTTGATCCCGAAAAAATTAAGGCGATTACCGACTGGCCTG